TCGTATAAATTTGCCAAGCGAGTGAAGACTGTTAGTAAAGTCGAAGAAGTACACGGTAGTTAGGTAAACTCTGTGACAATTTTGCTTTTATCAGAGACCCTGAAAAATGTTGATTTTGTTATAGGATTGAAATTCTCATTAATAAAAATGATAATTTACCGGGTCCATTACTTTTATATTACTTTAGCCTATCTATTCACAAGGCTCACAGCATTAGCGTGACGCTTTATCTTGTTGGTAAAAAACTAACTGACTTTTAGACGACCTCTAAATTTGGAAAGTATTATGCACACAACGAAGCACAAGTAATAACATGCATCATTTATTAGTGCATTCCAAATCACATTTTAAACCTTATTCCAAATTGATAAAAAAACTTTGAACCTATCGTTATCTATACACAATACAGTAAAGCATGTCTGCATTAGAATTGGAGGATAGTTCGAATAACATAGAAGATTGTAATAGTTTTTTTAACAAAAACTATTTAAAGTATTTTCAATATACTTCTTTTAAAAAGTTTGAAAATGTCGATTCGACATTATGTAGTAGAAGTTATAAAGTTTTCTTTAAAAAATGCAACAAAATGTTTATTTTAAATGAAATTTTCTTTTCTCAAAAATATACGATTAAAGATTTTATTGCTGATGTAAGTTTTCTAATAAAAATTTATTATATGATTATTTACTAAATTCTAACGGATTTTTTTCAGTTAAAACAATATCAGAGAATAGAACTACATGCAAACATTTTGAAATTCGGTAGTATTATCGAACAAAGCACGAATAAAGTAATATTTATTCATGAATATGCTAATGATGGAACTCTTCGTCAATACCTTAAACGAAATTCGAATATAATTAATTGGAATGATAAGTTACGTCTTGCAAAGCAACTTACCAGTGCTATAAAATACTTACATGAAAATGATATTATTCATATGAATTTGGTATTGTTAATTATTCTTGTTGTCTTTACCCAGAATCATAGCGTTAAATTAACGTTAAATTATTTAAAATTTAGAATTCAGAAAATATATTTGTTCACCGAGGAGACATAAAATTAAGTGAATTTTGTACTTTCCAATATTATCATAATATTATTGATATATTCAAGTTTATGCCATATATAGATTCTCAATATTTAGAAAATCTTGAAACGTATAAACTTAATAAAAGTTCAGATATTTATAGTATTGGCATTCTTCTCTGGGAAATTTCGAGTGGAGTTATTCCATTTAAATCCAATTTAACTCGTAATTTTAGTTTATTGAAGGAAATTATCAATGGTAAGCGAGAAAATGTAATTATTGGAACGCCCAAGAAATATGTGAATATTTATACAGGTATTTTTACAATTACCTATCATTTATACTAAATTTTAATATTTAATATATAAATTATGATATTTGCTTTTTTAGAATGTTGGCAACATCATTCAGATAATCGTCCAACCATTCAACGTGTTTTTAAATGTTTAAATAACATTAATGATCATGACAAATTAAACTTTGATAAAAAAATAAATTTAGTGTCAAATAAGAGAATTAAATATGAAAATTCTGCATCAGGAGTAGAAAGTTCAAATAAGAAAATTAAACATGAAAATTCTGCATCAAGAGTAGAAAGTTCAAATATAACAGGATTATCGCAGCATTATATTAGTCATAGTGAAGTAACAAATGAGTTAAAATTAATCTCTTCAATTGTTACACTCCTCGATAAAGCTTTAAACGAAAATGTCTTATTTGAAGATCAAAATAACATAGCTAAAAATCAAAATAATATATTACCAGTGAGCACTATAAACGAGCAAAGCGATGTCGATGATGAACAGAAATTTCTATATGATCTTAATCAAATATTTATATCCCAATTTAATATTCAAGGTGTTTCAAAATATACTTCGAGTTCGATAATTTATCACATAAATAAATTTATTAGTGATAATTACCAGATTCAATCCAAAGTTTTTTATCAATATAATAATCATCAGTATAGATCTTACTTTACGAGTATTATTGGATTTTTTCATGAACATGGAATTGGAACTATAGTTGATTACAATAAGGCGTTTAAATTGTATAAACAAGCTGCTGACGAATGTAATTTCACATCTAACTATTCTTTACAAAATATTGATAGTGATAATTTATTAAAAGAAAATCGGCTTGTAGGATTAATATCCCTAGGTTTACTTTATTTACACGGACAAGGCGTTGCTATAAATCAACAAAAGGCTTTAAAATTATTTTTACAATCAGTTTCCATAGGTTCTATTTTGGGAAAATGTTATGTTGCAGATTGTTATTATTATGGTTATGGTGTTATTGAAGAAAAATTTTTATCGTT